TTTTTTTTTTTTTTTTTGCAGGCACATTGCTCTGAATTTCTGGAGAGAGTAGATAAATAACATTCCCTGACATAAACAATTGGGTGCTGGATGTGAGAACTACTAATGTGTGCCCCAGAGTGGCCAGACTTGAAGGTCAGATAGAAGCTGAGAGAAAAAGGCCAAGGTCATTCCAGGAAAAACTAGACAGTAAGTCCATGTTCAGAATCAGGCCGTTCAGAAGAAGAGATTGTGCTTCTTTCCCAGAAGTATGTTAAGAAGACGTGTCAGATGGCGATTCTAGTTTTGTGAGGCAGAAACCTAGAACAGGAACATAAGGTGGTGAGGCTAGAGTTATTTATTAAATGTAAACTGCAGAGGAACTGAAGCAGCCCACAGCTACTCCTGCAAACTGGTACAGTCATCACCCATAGCAGCCAGCTGTCCCTTCAGGCCTGGAGGTCTCCCTCTCACGGGGACTGCACCCACTCTGTAAGAAGCCACAGGGACCTGTGAGAGACCCTGACCCCATGTGGCCCAGGATGGGGGAGGAGCCTAACTGCAGCAGGGATGTTGGGAGTTAGCACTGGGAGAAGGTGAAAGAAGGTAGCTTCAGCTTAGGTTTCAGAGATGGAGAGACAAGTGGTAAAGCCCAACATTGATTTGGGAAGTGTGGGTGATACGTTCATCAGCTTTCTGTTGCTGTGATAAAATACCTCAGAAAATCAATTTAAGAGGAGGCAAAGTTCATTTTGGCTCATGGTTTGAGAGATTTAGTCCACTGTTGCCTTTGGACTTGTGGCAAGGCAGAACATCATGGTGGCAGTGTGTGATAGAAGAGAAATGTTCACCTCATGCCAGCTGGAAAGCAAGGAGAGAGCATAAGAGAGGCAGAGATGAGGGTCCCAACATCCCCTTCCTGAGCATGCTGCTAATGACCTAACTTCTTTCCTCCTGGCTCTACCTCCTAAAATTCCACCACTTACTAATAGCACCACAGGCTGGGGAGCAAGCCCTCAACACATGGTTTGTGTAGACATTTAAGGTCCAAATCACAACCAGTGATGGCTCCTGATCCATGGAATACAGGGTTTCTCAAAACAAGAAAGAAAAGGAGAGAAGCCTATAGGTCATCAAAAACATGTGAAAGCACAATTGTTTAACATCTAAACCACTTCATTCTTCTAAGGCTCAGTTTACTTATCGGTAAAATGAAAACTGATAATGGCTCCTGTCTCTATGGGGAGGGTTAATACAGCCTGTTCTCCTGCCTGGCACTATCTTACTTGTTATGGCCTTTTCTAATGGCTGTGGCACTGATTTGTTTCCTTAATTTCCACAACAGCCCTGTATGATGGGTTCATTATTGTTCTCATTTTATAGGTGGAGAAATAGAGTTACAGTGGACCCTTAAATTATGAGCAGCCTGCTATACTAACAATTTGGGTTACGAACAGAATTTTAGTTTTAACTTTTGAACAAAGTATTGAGTTACAAGCAGAATGCCAGCTGCTTGTGCTTCTAGATGGTCTCAGATACAGATTTAACCCTTAAGGAGTTCTGGAAGGAACATTACAACTTCCTTTCTTCTGTGGGGTTAATCAAGAAATCCTGGGCCAATGTCTAAGGACACTGAGATCTGCCTGTATACAGGAGAGAGACTTTGAAGGGTGTGTACAAGAGCCTGAGCCTTCAAGTGACTGATTTGAGTTACAACTGGCCCTTGAGAATGAATTGAGTTCGTAAGTCAAGGGTCCCCTGTATAAAGCATTTCAGCCAATTGCCATGGCTATCCAGGGATTTGGTAACAGAGGTAATTTGGCATAACAGGCTGTGTGCTTAACCACTAATCCATAGACTTCCTACAGTAAATGGGGAAAATGGTAGTTATGGTTACAGTGATGATAATGACTGTGGTATAATGACATCATTATTTATTCCCATCTTACAGATAATGAACTGAGGCTGAGAAGAATCAAGTGATTTAAATGTTAAGTAACAACTTTACAAACATTTCAGAGGGCCATGGATTTAGCTCAGTGGCACTGTGCCTGCCTCTACAAATATGTTTCAGGACACAGTTGACCTGTTTTAGATTCCACAAACATAATCTATTGGTAAACACTTTATTAATCAAATGATTTGGAAGAATATAATAAAAAAGGGAAAAGGAAGTGGAGGTAGAGATGGAATGGGAATGACGTCTGCCACAGTGAGCTTTTGTCCTGCTCCCTTGACAGTGGCAGTTATGTTTGCAGTAGTGGTGTTGGAAGCTGAACCATTCCAAGGCCAAGGGCAGGCAGAAAAGGCAGTGAGAAGTGTTCATGTGTCCACAGAATGTTTAATACCTGCTAAGAGATCTTGACAGGCAGATTTGAGCATTTGATGAACTCAACAGGGAGGTCTGTGAGACTCTAGTGTCAAAGGCAAGAGGAAGTTCCACCGATACTTGTTCCATCCTATCACGAGTCTCTCCTTCCAGCTGTGGCAACAGGTGGGCACTGTTGCAATGATCCCAGGGCTCTGCCTTCAATCCCACCTGTGCACTTCCCGACACTGTGCTAGAGTTGAAGGACTTGACCTGCCGCCCAGTCCCGGTTCCACAGTGGTTTAATTCAGCTGGGGGACCCTGTAAAGCTGAGTCCTTTGTGATGTAGGTCAGGGAACTTGAATGAGTTTTGCACATCTCTGTTGCACAGGCTTCTGTTCAAAGCCAATGATAAAATGTTGAACAAACTGAATGGAGAATAACCCTGAATGAATATTTAGACTATCAGAACTGCACTCAACTATGAGCAATAGAAACCTGAGAGGCAGTGATTTAAATACAGTTTATTTCTCTCTCATAGAATGAGAATCCAGAGGCAAGTGGTCCAGGGTTGATACGACTGTTCTAGGACATCACTGAAAATATGGCCTTCATCCTCCTGTTCAAGAAACAGCTACCATAGTTCCAGTTGTCACACAGTGCTCAGAAACAGAAAGGAAGAAGGGCCAAGTGAAAGTGGTGCCCAGCAGTTGAGTCAGTATGTCTTTCAGGAAGTTTTCCCAGGAGCCACATTGAGCAACTTTCACTTACATTTCAATGAGAAGAACTTAATCACAATTGCTGCCTGTATCCCAGAGAAAGGCTGGGGAGAATTAGTTTTAATTTGGACACGTTGTTTCCCCTGGCAAAAATCTGTTGATAAGAAGCAAGTGATAATAGCTATTGAATAGGCATCTAGAAATCTCTATGACTCTGTGAATGGACAAAAATGTGAGTTATTGAAAGTGATCAAATGTAAAATGGCAGGAACAAGGCCATAGAAGATGTCCAGAAGGCTGAGGCCTTATCATTAGTTCCCAAAGGCTGGCAGATACAACTGACTGACAATAACGCCACAAATCACAAATCTAGCTTATATGCTAGGCCTACATAATAGGTGAATGATGTCGCTACTGGGAAAACTCTTACCAATCCATGAGGCTGGCGCCCCTATTCTGAGGATGGAACTCATGAAAAGTAACTTAGGAAAGTATCAAGTACTGTTTGAATTAATATGCATAGTTTATCAGGTTGAATCTTTTGGTTTCTAGTAAATATATATTTAAATGAGTACATTCGGACAATTAAGTTTATATTAGCTCTCTTGCACACTCAAGTAAATCCTTCAAGCTGGTGCTGCTGCCCAAGTAAGTCCAATGTAAGGAATTTTTTAGACAATGGAAACATTATTTTAAGCAGCAATGAGGAAAAAATTACCAGTAATAGTGAAAATTACACTAAATCTTACTGCTTGTTTCATCAGCACATACTGAATAATTTCACGTATTGGAATGTTTTTGACCAGCTACCTGTATAGAAAACAACCATTTGTACCATCCCCCACTCAGTCACTATCTGCACCCCCTATTCCCTCTAACTTCTCTTCTCTCACCTATTGTTTATAAGGAAGGCACATTCTAATGGGGTGCTGAGGTATTCCTGTGTCATGAAGGACAGCTTAGAATCAGCAAGTATTCAGGCCCTTGGATTATATTTGCATTTTATAATAATTTAATTAAAATAACTTGAATGTATTTACTTCTAAATTATCACTCCAAATTGCCATGCAAGTTGAATGAGAGAGAGAGACAGAGAGAGGGAGAGACTCTCACTCATTTGGTGCCTTATTATAGCAGCAATCTTTGCATTTATTATTTGTAAACTGCCACACCCTGGTAAAGTCAGAAACCCTCATTCATTAGATTGTGGGCAAAGGCTCTGGAAACTCACATGCCCTCACAGTGTGCATGCAACATGGCAAGCCCACTTGGAGAATGGTTTGTGTTATGGCTTGTGTCTTGATATCCCTCCAAAGCCTCATGCAGTGGGACTTTTTCTGAAATTGATTCATGGTGCAATGCTAGGCTCAAGGGCACTAGGATTGAGGGTGTAAGCGTTTCCTGCCCTAAGCAATCTATGTATGATAAAAAGGGCAGAAAGGCACTGTTAAAGTTCTCTTGTTGCTTTTGCTACCTTGTGGGTGCCATGAACTGTTGATCTCTGAGATGCTCCTCTGTCATGTGCCACTCTGCCTCGGAGCCAGTCAACTATGGACTGAAACCTCTACGAAGTGTATGCTAAATAAACCTTTCCCCCTTTTAACCTTGGGTATTGGATATTTTGTCTCAGCAAGGAGAGAAAAGTAACTAAGACAGTTTGGCACTGAACACAGTTTGAAACTGAACACAGGTGAATTCAGAGACCATACTCACGTACATCAACTTAGCGACACGGCTTTATCCCACGCTAGGGTCCCATCCAGCATTCCTTCTCCCATAACAGTGCAGGCCTTGTTGATGCCTCCCTCCTGAAAAGTCCTCTCTATCAGCTGTGAACCTTAGTGGGGAAGATTAGGAGACTTAAGCAGTTGCCCGTCAGCAAGCTCCCTGAACACCATGTAAAATTCCCCCACCCTTTTGCAAAAGCCTGCAAATTCTGTACCATTTAAGGTGACTTCATTATGAGTATCTAGTATAAAGTCCAGCACAAGCTTGCTTAGAAACAGAGATGAGTCATTACCTCACCTAACTCCAAAGATCAATGGTGGGTTTTAGGCAGAGTTCTATCAGAGCTCTAGTTCAGTTTTTCTGAGATCTCTCAACTCTTTATTTTGCCAAATCAGCTTTGTCCTTGGGCAAAGTTCTCACAGTTTGAAGGTGTCAGTCAGCATCAACTGGGCGGTGTGCTTGTTCAAGTGAGAAGAAAGCAGGTCCTTATCTAGATAACCACTGAACAAAAGCTCTGAGCTTAACTCTGATGGAATCTTCTTGCCACATGCCCACCTCCTGAAACAATCATTTTGGCAGCAAGACTCCAATGTGCCTGTAGTGCTGAGGCCCTAAACCCTAGTCAAGCCATACAAAACGAACAAACACAACTCCTGTGTACTTTCCCCAGACTAATGGGTGCTTTACTGTGTCTACAGAACTAAACAGGACCCACTCAAACAGCTTATCTCAGAACAAAAAAGCTATGCTCCCAAGTGATTTCACATTTTTGTGATATCTCATAGATAGCAATGGTTGGCTACTTCAAACGCCTACGTTCTCCTTTAAAGCTCTGCCTCATTGCTGTACCAGACTGCCAGCCATTCCTTTCTCCAAGAAATGTAAGGAAACTTACTTAGAAGAGATGACTTCAGGCAAAACTTTTACAGTACTGGGTTTAGAGATACAGTAACAAAGTCTCATGTTTGACTAGCATTTAGCAGTGCCCAGTGTTTTCATTTGCAGCACCCTATTCCATTCCTAGGAGTGGGGTAGGAGTTGTACTGTGATAGCCAGTGTGCAGATAAGGAAATCTCAGATTGAGTGATTTATCCAAGGTCCACAACGTAAGACATAGAGCTGGAATTAGAATCTAGGACTTTTTAATGCTGAACTTTTGTGGGTGCTTTCCTCTGATGGCTCTTTTGGACCATGGTATAGAACAAGAAAAATAAGATTCAAATTTGACTGTGGTTCCAAGCAATCAAAGACCGGGTAGTGTGTGAAATGAGAATTCTGCTGCTGGAGGACTTTCCCGCACAGGAGAAAAAAGACAGGAAAGATCATCACAGCCTCTGCTTCTGCTCTTTTTGTTTGTTTGTTTGTTTTTGTTTTCTTTCCCAACTCCCTTTTTCTGTTTTGTTCTGTTTTGTTTTGTTTTGGTATAGGGCATTGAACTCAGGACCTTGTGCTTGCAAGGCAGGCTCCTGGTGCCACTGAGCTAAATCCCCAGCCCCCAATTCCCTTTTTCTTAACTGTTTCTTTCTCAAATTTTCATCTCTGGTGCAACTTTCTCAAACACAACACCGAACACATTCTTTCTATGTACAGGCCCTATTCAAGAATTAGTCCTGAAAAGGCATCCTGGAAGGCTGAGGGACAAAGGCAAGGAGGACAAAGGAGATGGCATAGGATTTGGGAATAGGGTGAGGACAGGATGAATATGGCGGAAGAAAGAAAAAGAAAAGATACCAGAATCATGAATTGGCTCTGACACCAAAGATTAACTGTAATATAAAATGTTAGATTGCTACATACATTTTGAAGACAAGTACTACTTTGAAAGTAATGTGACCTTTAATTACAGACTCAGGATTGGGGATATTCAAAGATTAGAAAATCTAAACCCACCAACTGAAGGGTTCTCCTAATGATTTTAAAATTTAGATGGAGAATTTTCAGGCATTATCTTTTACAGCGCTCATTTTAGATAAATTTGAAGTGCTCATATGCTCAGCTTGATGAGAATTAATTTTCTCACGACTATGATCTGCATTGAAAAATAAGGAAAGATAATGAGAACCAAGAAGCGTTAGAGCCTGAAAGACAGTTCTTATTGACTGTTTCTTCCCTCTGATATGACCATTACCTGAGCAGCTTTGACAGTATCTTGGAGATCTGTTTAAGGGTCAAAGGGCCCTTTCAGAATTGTTTGCACCAAGATTAGATTGCATCTAATCTCATAGTGATGAGAAATTGGGAAATAATTAATCTGAATACTCCTGGGTTGTTGTGGCAATAAGAGTGACCTAATTTTCGCATTGTGGCATGGAAGAAAAACCAGGTTGCAAACTGGAGGGCGCATGAGCTAAATGTGGGCTGCAGGTGAAACTTGTTTGCTTTTTAGTGTTTTAAGAGAAGAGTTCTCTGCAGTTCACCACTGGGCCTTACCATTCACATGATATGTGCATGGCCATACAGATTTACCTCATCTCTTACCACTCCCCTGCCTGGCCCTTAAGGCTTCTGAGTGTGAGGCCTCTGAGATAAGAAAAGCTATTTAAAATAAGGTAATAGAGAGAAGAACAAATAATTTACCTTGACAAAGACATAATGGGATGAAAATTATAGAAAGGCAACTTTAGTTATAAAACCAAGAGGAAAAGTCCTTTCTAGAGAAATCACTAGAATCTGGGTCTGTCTTCTGGAGGACAAATGTAGCTTCCTTGTAGGTCTAGCTCTGGAAAGAAAGGACAGGGTTGCTGAACACTTTGAGATGGCATTCAGTAGGACTGCTTATTTTATGACTCTGGGAAATAAAACTATAACAGAAAATGTGAGCACTGTATCTCAAACACCTGGATGAAAAGCAACATCATTACAGTCATTACAGGACAGAAGCAATGGCACAGAGATAACAAAAGCAAAAAGGGTCACCTTTCCCCACAATAGGTGATACCTGAACTCTAAAATCAACAGTAGGAAGGCACATAGTCAAGGTCAGGTCAAGAATTGGCTGGGGAGCAAAATGAGAAAATCTTTTAAAAGTCTTACTTCTCTATAAAGTTTAGTTTTAACATAAGGTATTTGTATTAGTTTTCCATTACTATAAAAAATACCTAAGATAATCAATTTAGAAAGAGAAAGGTTTATTTTGACTCACAGCTTTAGAGGTCAGTTGACCTGTTGCATTTGGGCCTGTGGTGAGGTTGAAAATCATGGTGGGTGCTAGAATAATCATGATACATAGCAGAGGGGGCTGCTCACCTCATGCTGACAGGAAGCAGAGAAAGAGGAAGAGGAGGGGCCGTGGTCCCAATCTGCCCTTCAAGGCTACACTCCCAATGACCTAACTTCCTTCTTCTAGACAACATCTCCTAAAGGTTCTACCTCCCAGTAGTGCTACAGGCTGGAGACCAGGCCTTTGGAGAACATTCAAGATCCAACTTACAGCAGTATTTACAACCAGGAAACAATTTTGGCAATAGCAATAAAAGGCCCTCCAAAAGCTGAAGGAAAGGAAAACAGATAAACCAAGAGCCTCAATTTCTGATTCTACACAATCTCTCCATCATCAGTACCCCACCCTAATTCTCAGTGCCCTCACTGAAGGGCATTTGGCAAACGCTTTTGCTTCTCTAATTTAGTGTCTGTGATATCCATGGGCATAGTCCTGCCCATGCAAAGGGACCAACTCCTCAAGATTCAAGGAGACAGCAGAACACCTTCTACAATCCACAAATTCAAGTATGGATATTAAGTTAAGAGCTAGGCGCTGAAGTTAGACAGATCTAAATTCAAATTTTAGTTCCAGTCTTTATTGGCTTTAATGACCTCAGAAGGTTGCCTTATTTCCCTGCCTTGTTTCTTTTCATCCATAGTTTGAGCATAATAGTGTTTGTGTATGTCACAGGGTTTAAAAGCTGCTTCGTGTTAAGACATCTAATCCAATGCCTGATACAACAGTAGGAAATCAGTGAATTGTTGTTTAAAATAATCATTCTCATAAACTTGAATATCTGTGAAAGTCTATAAAAGGGGGAGAAAGTGTCAGATTTCATGTCATGGCTAAATGCCTCCCTGCTTATCTGTCCGCTGAATGGCTTCACCTGCATCAACGGAGACTAGGAGATCAGTACTATCAAAATGAATGCGAAGAAAGTTTCATAAGTGACTATGAATGCAGCAGAGTGACACAGTTGTAGACTTTAAAAGAGGTCCTGTCACAGGTTGGGCTGTGATCAGGAGAAGGAGAAACTATTGTAATCTATCCAGGCTAACAGATGACTGAAGACTCTCTTTTGTCAATGCTACATAAGAAAGTACAGTAACAAATTGTTAGAAATTGCTTGAGCATTGAAAACTGAAATTTCAGCACACTGCCTTACCACAGTGCTGAGCTATACTCCCATATAACTTGTATGGTGCACCATGTGGAAGCACAAGGAAAGGTAATATCCTTTCCTGGGAAAGCATGGTTTGGGGCCAGTGGCCTTCCTGAGAGAGGGCATTTGCCCCAGGTCATGGGCATGAATGAAAACAAGTGAAAGTTGTTAACAAAACAAAACAAAACAAACAAACAAACAAAATATATATATGATTTTAAATGTAGTGTCTGTACATAATTTATAAATAAAAATATAAATATGAGGTGAAGGACCAAATTTTCTTATGGATGGAATCAAAAAGCTTTGGGAACTATTGTTCTGGAGGAGAGGGGAGACCAGTAAGGCAACAGTTAAAAATGTAAGGGAGAAGGAACTCAGCTGGGACACAGATAAGTAGCACCCAGAAAGCACAGAAGGAAGGGGAGGAAGGACATAGGGAAGGTTTCTTCAAAGAGGTGACAGACTGAGTTGCTGAGGTGAGTTTGGTGGAGGGAAATAGAAAGAAAGAAGAAAAGTATCCTAGGGGACAACAAAACACATGCTATGGCAGGTTGACCTGTGCATGAACGAGTGCACCTCGAAAACTAAAATAATCTGATCAATCTTGAGCAGTTAATACACGTGGCACATGGAGAAAATGCAGGCTGGGAAGCTTCTGCAGAGATCAGATTATGAAGGACACTGAAAAGTGCGAAGCTTACTCTGGTTAATGTAGGTTACTGCTAGGGGATTCAAGTAGGGGAAATGATATCATGGAACAGTCTGCTCAACTTGACTCTTTAGCCCAGTCTTCACCAACATCTTTTTTGAGTCCTGGAGGGAACAGCCTGCAATAGTGAGTGCTGGTGAAACCTCAAAAAGCCCAGGAAAAAAGGGTCAGGAGCCTTTAAAGGAGTAAAAATCCTCACCACTCTGCAATGCTTGATAAGCATCAATACACCTATGGACACATCTTTGGGCAAAAAAGTGTGTATCCTTTCATAGGTGTTGGTGCCTTACTGGCTCCATTACAGTCAATAGCAACAGGAGTTACCACCTGCATGAGCCAGAGCTGGAAAGGAGGGAAACAGCAGACACCACAGCAGCCAAGAGGCAACTGAGCCACCTCAGCAGGCTCCTCTGACCTTGCAAAGCACTCGGGGCTCCTCCATGTCAGGAGATGTTTATCCAAACTGTCACCCTTGTATCTTGCACAGAGGATGAGGACAGCAAGATTGCAAAAATCCTGGGGTCACAGATCATGCAGTTGCCTGTATCAAAATCTTGCTAGACTTATGAGAGGGAATTTTCCTACGGGTCAATCAAGATATATTAAAGGAACAAATGAAATAGTGATTGCGTGGCTGCTCTTATAAACTTTATTTTGAACCTTAAGCTGGGCTGACCTGAGAAGCAGTGGTTTTCATAAAATTTGGGATCTGAACTATAATCTTGGCAGCAGTGTAGATGACAGGAGGTGAGTGGACTCAGAATGTTCAATTAGAACCGAGGTCAGTGGCTGTGTATTTTACTGACTCAGTTCTGAAGAAGTCTTATAAGAAACTGGAAAGAATGACATCAATTGGAAGCCAGGGATTTAGCTCAGTGGTTTTGCCGCCTGCTGCGCAAGCACAAGGACCCGAGTTCGATCCCCAGTACACAAAAAAAGTCGTCATTGTGTGTACGTGTGTGCGTGCATGCGCACACGTGTATGCATGTATGTGTGTGTGTGTGTATGTGGTCAGTAGAGCAGCAGCAGCCAGGCAGACAGCTAGGAGGTAATGCCCATAAGAACTGTTTACTTTGTGGCAACCCACCTGAAAACCCAGAGAGAACCTGTTACTAATTCTGATGCCAATTTAATCATAAGCAAAACAGGATTGGGGGACAAAATGATACTTAATTATCAAAGAACAGATAAAGTTGATTCATTTCTGAGCTGGAATAAAATCAATACAAAGAACTGAGGACTTGGTTGCACAAATGTTAAACAAGACAATCTGGAATAGACATTGTTTTCTTTGGAAGACGGTGGGGCCTAAAGAAAACACCCCATTGAGGCCAAGATTGCTATTAGTGGAAGTGGCAGTCTTAGTCTTTAAAAAGGGGGGGAGGGTTAGACATTGTTATAGGTGCCCATAGGCTTGCACAAGCTGAAGAAGACCTGACTTCATCATCTACCCATTCAACACAGTGGTGGCTGTGAAAGGAATGCTCCAAGCCACATAGGAGCTATTCATAGCTGGCAAACCTGAAATGCACCTTAAGAGGAACCTGGGATAGGACCCATAGACCCTCTTGTAGCACTCATAGATGTCCACACAGGGCACAAGACATGCACAGTTTTGATTATCAATATATCCTGAAATTAACAGACGCCTGAATGTAGTGGCCAGACCACTGGATGAAGCAGTCTCCTTTAGTGGCTTCAGTTGGCTCTATTAGACCACTAGAATCACAAATCTGTGGCCGCTGCTCCATCTCCAGGCCACTGGCCATCCTGGGTTTTGAGAAACTGTTACTAGATCCCCAATCGTTTATAATGCTGTGCACCACTCTGGGGCTGCTATACATCCGTACTCTGTCTGGGCCTCTACTACAGGAAGAGGCTACTGGTTTCCAAGAAAAGGGTCTTAAAGCCAGGGAATGCTTGTAGTTCAGGCTGTATCAAATCTTTCTTACTTATTCTCTTGCTGTCCTTTCCATTAACATATTTTTCTTCCACAGATCAATGAGTTTAGCAAGTAAAGATGTATATCAGTCATCGCTTTCTCTTGGAATTAATAGGTCGAAGTGTTTGTTTTACCTATCTTTATAGCCTAGATGCTGAATATAAAGGGATACCCTTGAAACAAACATTTTTAAGTACACAAAAGTATGCATGTCTTTGTAAGGTAATTATTTTAAAGTTTGCCTGTGGTGACTATATACTAATGCTTTACTGAATGCACTGTGAATACAGAGAGAAAATTGGCTTTATGTGTCTGGGAGGAACTTGGTGATACCTTGGCCTGTTTCCTACATCTACAAAATCAGGCCTAACAGCTAGAGAATCTTTGATTTTAAAGATTTTTAATTATGTATCTCACAAAAAGGCCCAAAGTGCTTAGTGTATGCAGATTATAAAAAGGTAATGAGCAGAACGTCACATAAACAAAGCTTCAGTCATATATGAAGTAGTAGGCTCAGTTATTTCATGCAAAATAAACCGATTTCGTACAAAATATATTTTCCCAAGATAGAGAAAATAATTTTAAGTCTTAAAACTCCAAATCTTGATTTATTTTGTAAGTTATTTGGCTCATTTCATTTAAATGTATTTGTCCAATTTGGTTTAGCAAAGTTTTATTCTAGGAATAAAACCTTGAGATAGGAGTTAGTGGAGATCAGAGGTAGTGGAGAGCTATGAATGAGTGAAACAGTTCCCTTCCTTCATTGTTCACCTGCACATTTCTGGCGCTTTCCATCTCTGAGCTCTCTTGACTGAGCAACTTGGAGACTCTCCACTTTCTTTCTGAAATTATTAATTCCACATAGACAGTTTTTCCTCCAGAGGACAGAGGTGCCACTTCTTCAAAGTTCTGGGTGCTCCTCAGATGCTGCAGGGTGGAGGTGCCCAGCATTCAACTCCATGGGAGGCTGTTTTGTCACCATTTTTGGCTGAAGTTTTTGTATTGCATCTGGGTGTGGTGTGAGTCTGCCAGATATTCTGCCTGCTCTCAGCTGCAGGCCTCCCAGACTGGGCAGCTGAAGGCACTGCACAGCTGCCAAAATTCTAACTCAAGATCTAGAATTCTAACTCCTGTTCTTTAGACCCTTGTCTGGCTTTGGCTTCAGGTACCAGCCAAGTTGGTCCCTGGCTCATGATCAGGTCCACCTGCGCACTGCAGCCATTCTCACTTGGGCCCAGGAAATCATTCCTGGCACCAAAGTGAACTTTAACAACACACTGTCCTAGCTTCACCCAACCCAATTCTCATCTTAACAAGTTTGTCACCTCCTGAGAGGGAAGATAGAAGAGAAGGGCCAGAAAATGCCATGGATGAGGGAATTCAGCTCCAATTCCTGTGACAGATTGTAAATTTTTTACAGTGGCAGAAATACTGTATGTCTTTATTTACAGTTACATGAAAAACCTTAACAATTATTAGAAATAACACCTGAGATGCATATAGCTCATGGAAAAGGAAGTACTATTTCTCTATGTATCTGTACCAGAGGGTAAGTGAAATTTGTCCTAAGGAAAACTGCCCATTTCAGGGCACATGTGTTAATAAAAAATATGCACTATTGGGTCATAAACTGCTGATAATATACAATGTTTCTTAGGTACTTGGAAAAAAAGCTATTGGAGGACACATTTTGCAGGTAAAACTATGACTGAAACTGAGTGTGGGAATGGGAACAAGAAGGAAATCGATTTTTAGCAAAATGTTGAAAAACTCAACATAAGTGTGCTTTACCGGACAACATTATGTTTTAAATGCTCACAGGATGGTATAGTCTTGATTGACTGACTTCTCATTTAAATGAAGAGTAAATATGTCCCTTGACTGTATTTCTCCTCCTTCTAGCCTAAACCAAGCACTGTTCTTTCTTCTGCAGCAGAAACACACACACATGGCTTAATTACCAGACTTGAGACAGGGTAGTGGGTGCAATGGAGTGCCATAATTTGGGATAATAAAATTATTTTAGTTTTTGTTTTCCCAAAAGGAGCAGAGTAGAACAAACGTGGTACATGTGTAAAACACAGGCAAATGCACTTGACAACCAAGCACTCTATTTTGAAATTTAAATAAAGCTAAGATTTTCTTCTGGCCTAGAGGGAAGCTTCATTAAAATCAATTAGTACAAACCTCCAGAGATTATGGACTTTTTTTAAAAAGAGAAGGTATAAAGAATAAGGTGAACACAATTACCTTTGCTGGGTCCCTATGAATGACAATGTCACATCTAGACAGGTGGCAAGTGCAAATGTCCCCGAGGGAGGGGCCTGGTTAACTCCCTGAGGGCTCACCACAGGGAAGTATGTGTAATTAATAGATGTGTATCCATTAAGAAAGGAATATCCATAACCGAGGAGGCTCCAAATAGACTGCATATATGACAAAGTGTGAAAGGCAGGCCGAGGGAGATAAAGTTGGTGCAGGCGCTGCCAGGTGTGGCCGTGGTCGGAGTGAGGTTGGGGCCGCACCGCTGGAGCCAAGCGCCCTGGTCCCTCCTCCCGGCCCGGCGGCCTCCCTCCCCACCGCCCCTCCCCGCCGCTCCCGACGCCGTTACCGCCGCCGCTGCGCCTCCCCTCTGCCTCCCGGTGGCTCCTCGCTCTCCTTCCATTGCGCGCGCCCCCTCTCCCTCCGTCCCGTCCTCTCCGCTCCCCTCACCCCGCCTCTCTCCCCCTCCCCTGCCCCTCCTCTCCTCACCCCACCCGGCCTCCCTCCCTCCTCCGCCCGCCCGCCCGGCACTCGCAGAGACGACACCAGGGGGGCTCTCCATGTAGCACCATGACAGGCATCGCCGCCGCCTCCTTCTTCTCCAATACCTGCCGATTCGGGGGCTGCGGACTCCACTTCCCCACCCTGGCCGACCTCATTGAGCACATCGAGGACAACCACATCGGTAAATGGCCCAGGGGTGGGCGGGGGTGCCGGGCGCGCGGAAACTCCTGCCCAGGCGACAAGCACCAGAATGGCCAGGGTTGGCCTGGGGGAGGGAAGGAGGGAGGTGGCGGCCGGGAGGGAGGGTGTGTGCTAGCCGGGGTTGGGGGTGGAGGGATGCA